GTGTGTGTGTGTGTGTGTGTGTGTGTGTGTGTGTGTGTGTGTGTGTGTGAGGGAAGGGGTGTTATTCGTCTCCATTTGATGGACCCTCCAAGAGGCACAGCCGCGATTCAGCCCACAGTCAGCATGCTTAAGCACGCCACCCTTGCCTGGTGTCATAAGGGGCAGCCCCATTGCTGAGCACCGTGTGGGGGTGCTTGGTGGTGCGATTCTATTTGCAGGGTCCTCACATCAGCTCCCTGGGCAATAATTTTAAGCATCCCTTGATGTGTGGTTGAGGAAGCCAGGTTTACAGAGGCTAAGGGGGCATCTGCCAACGTCAGGTTAGGCTGACTGCAAAGTCAGATGGTGGCCGCCCAGCACTAACCCCCAGGACCTCTGCCACCCTGCCCAGGCCCCTCCTCCACAATCCTCCTGCCACACGGCCCCGTTGTGCAGAAGCCAACAGGGGGCTGGCACCATCAAAATCCAAGAATAAGATCAACTCCCACCAGACTTTATGCCCAAAGAGACTTTAGAAAGCCTAGCAGGGCGGAGGACGCAGGGAGAAAGGCAGGCATGGGGGCCGTGGCAGCACACACGTGGCTGGGCCTGCAGGAAGCGATCTGATTGGTGTTCCCTGGAGCCAGACATCCAGGAGGGCAGAGGGGGACAAGCCACAGCACCACCTGGAGGCGAGGTCAGGGGACGGCCTCCCCTTCCCACGGTCTTGGCGGCTGGAAGGCCCGGACTCCGGACCCTCCTCCTCCCGGGCCCACCAGCTTTCCTCCGGGCGGTCCTCCTCTGTCCATTCTCGGTCAGGGACTCCGGCACCTGTGCTCACCCAGGCTCCTTCCACCCACGTCCCCTGGCCCCCAGAGCAGCCGGACTCACCCCAAGAGTGCGGGCCACCTCCCAGCTGTCGTTCTCCAGCAGGCGGAGCCGGCCCTGCAGGGCCTGCTGCAGGTCGGGGTCCGGCAGCCCGCTCTTCCTCCGCACGGCCAGCAGCTGCAAGGTCAGGTCTGGAGCGGGCAGATCAAGGTCGGGCAGTCTGCCTGGCCCAGGACAGGAGCCCTGTGGGCCTGTCCACCCATGAGCCCCCATCCAGCCCACAGCCATGGGAGCCGGTTCAGTCCCCACGTCAGGCCCCTATGCACACCTGACACAGCTGCTTGTCCCCCTGAGCCCCAGTGCCTTTGGTTGTAAGTGAGCTGCATGCTGCCTATATCCCACAGAGCGATGGGAAGAGGCAGACTCCTGTAATGGCCCCAGGACAGCACAGCACTGAGTGAGCTTCCAGCAAACGGCCCTGAGTCACTGAGACCTCCAGCCCCGACCTCTCCCACCACCCCTGCTCCAGTCAGGGGCACCCAGCCTCTGGCAGACATCCCACAGAACCCTCAATCCCACCCCCAAAACCAGCTCCTCTCCCTGTCTTTGCCATCTCCAAAAGGGCCCCAGCCCAGCCCTGCTCAGGTCCCCCACACCACCCTGCGTCACACACATGGGTCCACAGTGAACCCCACTGGTTCCCCCTGTAATGCCAGGCCTGGCTGGCTGCTCTTAGAGTCAAACCTCAGCTCCCATGGCACCCCCATCCCCACCCCCAACCCCCTAAGAGGCTACCACGACACTCGAATCCCCAGAACAGAGGTTGCTCCAGGGGAGATGGGTGGTGTGGAGGAAAAGAAAGGAAGGAGGTGGAGAGGGGGTGAGGGAGGAAGGGGCGACTCCCCAGGCCTTTGACTAAGCATTGCTTCTGCCTAGAACTTTCTAGCAGGGGACCCTGGAGCAAACAAACCCCAGGGCGGGGCCAACGGCAGAGCTTCTGGAATCTGGGATCAGGCCTAGCATTTCACAACCTGTTCTAATATGTGACCCCTCCTGCTGCTATAAGAGGGTGGGGTTGCATTTTCCAACCCAAAGTCATCTGCCCTGTTGCTTAACTTGTCCTGGTCATCCTGGGTGACCACAGGCGGCGCCGACCACCTGACAGGCGAGTGGGAGGACAGGCGGATGTTGGGGCAAAGGTGAAACCCCAACAACACTGGGCCTCCGTGCCCCCCACAGCTGGGGGTCAGGAATGGGATCTCCAGCGTAAGGGGCTTCTTACCACCCCCAAGCCCAGGTGCACCCCCCACCTGACCAGGGCTGCCTACCATCCATGTCCTGCAGAAATCTGCATGCATCCTCGGAGCCCCCTCCCTGGAAACTGGCCCTTGGAGGTCTCTTCCGTGGGCCCCACCCCTCCCTCTGAGCCCCCCACAACACAGCTCTTTGGTCTAGTTCAGGGATCGGCAAACTTTTGAGATGGAAGAGCCAATCTTGTCCCTCACAATAATTTAAAAATTATTCGAGAGCCATAAAACAAATGAAATCACCATTATGTGAATAATAGCCTTCAAAAATTTTATAAATGAAACTGTGATAGTTTTATTTTCATTTTCAATTTTACTTCAGAGCCACATGTACGTACCCAAGGAGCCGCATGTGGCTCGTGAGCCGCAGTTTGCCAAACCCTGGTCTAGTTCTTATCACAACCCACCCGTGACCCCTCCGTTTCTCTTGCATGCAGCCTCTGGGCCATGTCCGCCTTTCTGAGTCGATGCAAACAGAGTCCAGGGAAGCCCTTTGCAAATGCAGGTGAACCCAGCCTTCCGCCTACCCCCTCCGGAAATGCCGAGTCTGGGCCCTACCCCAGACAGGCAGAATCAGAACCTGGACATCTGCATTTAACAAGCACCTCCCCACCCCCCAGGAGGGGCGAGGGAGCCCAAGGATCCCACATTCACGTCCCCAGTCCAGAGTTAACCCTGCCCGAGGATGCCTACCTGTGGGGTACACGCCCATCTGGCCAGGAGGGGTCCCAGAGGCCTGCCGAGAGATGCCAGGCGGCATAGCAGCACCTGTAACAGAGCAGGTCTGTGTGCTTACAGTGACAACACATAGCTCTCAGCTACACAGGCACCAACCCCCAGAGGTTTCTGGAACAAAAGAGGCGTGTCCACATCCCTGCAAGCCACCGTGCACACACAACAGCCCTTCCTCGTGACACAAAAGCCCAGCGATGATGGAAGGCATATGAGTGCCTTTGTGCTGTAACATACCACCCCAAGCTTAGTGGCTTCTGAAAAGAACACAGTGTATTATTTTGCTGTTGTGGAGTTCGAAAAGGGTCTCACTGGCTAAAATCAAGGTGTCGGCAGGGCTGGTTCCTTCTGGAGGCCCCAGGAGAGAATCGATTCCCTTGCCTTTCCAGCTTCCAGAGGCGCCCTCAGTCCTTGGCTCATGGCCTCTTCCTCCATCTTCAAAGCCGGAAGCTCATCATCTTGGATTTCCCTCTGACTCTGATCCCAAAATAATCTCCCATGTCAAGATCCTTAACTTACTCCCCTCTGCAGAGCCTCTGGCCACAGAAGGTAACGTATGTGTGCGCGGTTTCTGGGGATTAGGATGCGGACGTCTTGGGAGGCAGTGGTTCTGCAGACCACAGAGGGGAGGTGACAGCCCAGAAAGAACTCGGGTCTGGAGAAGACAGAGCTGCGCCCTGATCCGGCTGCACCGGTCACTTGCTGGGGGCGACACGTGCCTTGTGAGGCGGGTGGGGTGCAGCTCACAGCCTGGCAAGGATTAGTGATATCCCCCCAAGTTCAGGGTCAGAGGGACGGGCTCTTAAACGCTGAGTAGCCGCTAGGTCCTCTGCTGTTACCCCTCTCCCCGCCAGCCCCCGCCCTGAGGCCAGCTCCCAGTTTGCATCTTAACCAGGGCACCTCGTCTCTGCCCTGCTCAGTTTGTTCATCTGTAAAATGGAATGATCAATTGGGGCCTTGGGGTCAAGGGGAGTCTGACTGGGAAAAGCCTATCGTTCCAGCAAAGGGTGTGAACTTGAGGGCAGCGGGTCTCTGTCACCTCCAAGTGTCCTGCTCAGAGGCCTGGGCGCAGTGCTGCCATGTCAGCCTTGGACCGGGCAACACAATGGTGCTCATTTTTGCTCTCTTCCCACCAGCGTCTGCTGACCACCAACAGTATACCAGCCCCATGCCCGCCCTAGAGCCAGGCATTCAGCAGGGACTCAGACATGCCTGTCAAATCCCAAAAAGCATATGGTGCCCAGATCTTGGCTGTAAGCACCATCCTCCAATTCCGAAGCCCGGGCTCCTTGAAGAAATGGCACCGTTTGGGACTGGGAAAAGTCCCAGACAAGCACCCTGTGGTCCCAGAAAGCCCGACATGCTGACCGAATGATGGAGACATGTCAAAAAAACCAAAGCTGGGGCAATCTGAACACAAAATAATTAATGATGTCAACTGAGACAGCCCAGAGAATAAACTATAGATGGATGAGCCCACAGTAAAATCAATAAATGACTAATGGGGGAAGGGGACCGCTCTTCCTCACAGTAGAAAGCCGGTTGATAAATGCAGAGGAATAAAGCGTAAGAAAGTCACTTAGCAGCCATCCTAATTATTGTTTCGTTCGAAAACCAGGCATAGATGACAAAGCGCTGCTTTATGAGTTTGAAGAGGAACAGGATATTCACACCGTCCCAAAGCATCTTCCCAAAGGTTACGTACCCATGACAAAGGGAAGAATACTGGCTTTATGGGGGGAAGGCTGTCACACACCCCTTGACCAAGCCACCAAAACGAACGTCACCAGTATGGAGACAAATTGCCATCGCGCCTTCAGCTGCGCTGCGCTGAGCGGAACACGGCACTTCTGGGCATTTCCCGCTCCAAATGCCTGACTGCAAAGCTGAAGAAACATCGGCGGTGCCTGCACTGAGGGACGCTCTACAGAATACCTGGCCTGTATTCTTCAAAACTGCAACCTCCAGGATACAGGCACCACAGAGGCGTGGCAATGCAATGCAAGGCGTGACTCGGGGTTTTCCCTTCTATGAAGGACATCATTGGGGCAGGTGACAAGATCTGAGCAAGATCTTCAATTATCATTTAGACCAGGAACGTGATGTTGGAACCTCATTGCACCGTAGTCCTGTAAGAGCATGTCCTGGTTTTAGGAAATACACACGCCAAACTATTTGGAGACCAAGGGGCATCGTGTCTGCAATTGACTCTGAAACAGTTCAGAAAAACAACACATATAAGTAAAGAAAGAGGGGAAAGTGAAGTGTAGTAAAATGTTAACCTCTGAGGAATCTGGGTAAATAGGGATTCTTTGTATTATTTCTTGTAACTTTCGCTGTCAGTGAAAACAAAGCCCAAAGGGAAGGACTGGGTGGGTGCACGTCACGGAGGGGCAGCTGGCAGCCTCCTAAGGAAAAGGGCGGCCACTGAGTCCCTCGGCTGGGCTCACAGGTCCATCCCGAGGCTGGTGTGTGTCGTGCGTGTCGTGTGTGGTGTGGAGGGAACGTCTGGCAGCACGGGCACCGAACGTCCCGATTGGCCTCAGCGCCAGGCCTCACGGCCCCTCCTTGGCTGGGCTGCCGGAGGGAGGCAGGTCCGGCCCACGCGTGGGAGGCAGGTCCGGCCCCTTCTTTCTCACCCCGCGTGTTCCTGAGGGAGCTGGATTCCACGCCACAGGTGGGCTCCCAGGCCCAGTCCCCCCCAGCGGCTCCCCTCTCCTGGCCAGGCAGGTGCACGACAGGGCGGATGGCTTGGTGGGTCAGCACCCAGGAGGGTCACCCTGGCCCTTCCCATCTCTGCCCACACACGGAAGGACCAAGACAACAGTTGTATGAAAGTACCTCCAACGGCCAGGTATGGACAGTGCATCATGTGTGAGGTTTTGTTTCCATTCCCCCAAAGCATCCATCATTTACTGGTCACTAATGTGCACTGAGCATCTGCTATGTGCCAAGCCCTAGAGCCCCAACAGGCAGCTGGGACAACATGACAGTGGGGGTGCCTGGGGAGGGTCAGGAGCCTGGCTCGGGGAGGGGCTCGGGCGCACCGTGGTTTTGCCCCCTTTTCTTTCCTCTTCTCTTGAGGTCCAAAGGGGGTCGGGAGAGGGGTCCTGGAGATCATTGAGGACGGAGATCACTCAGGTTTCCTAGTGGGGAACCAGGCCCTAAGTCAAACAGTGGCCCAGCGACAATTAGGATGAGAGCCGGGTCCTCGAGCAGCCAGCACTTGCCTCCGTCACAGCCCCCGCTGTGGGGTACCTGGCATACTTCCCATTCACACGCGCTCCTCCTCCATCCAGGAAGTAGCCCCGCCCTTGTCCTGGCCCAGCCACTGGCCCCTTTCCCTCTGGGGGCCTTCGTGTGCTCCTACGGGAACGAGGGGTGCCCTGTCCTGAGTAATCGGTTTATGTCTTGAGGACAAAACAGGGCTGTGGGAATGCAAAGCTCTGTGAAACAGCCACAAGTGGAGGTGTCTGGGGCAGCTGCTTAGGACTCCCAAGCCCCTTCCCCTTTCTCCATGCCAGTCTTGTCATCACTGACATGCCCCCTGGAAAACACGAGTTGGCAGCCAATGACTCACTGGGAGGTTATTCTCCTTCAATAGACACCCCGGCAGTGCCGACTCTGCTCTGGCCGTGTGGGTGACGGGGCCGACCTCGGACGCTGCACTCACCGCCTCTGCCCGAAGCCTCGGCCTCCTGCGGTCTTGCTCCCCCCCAGCTCGCCGACGATCTCTGGACCTTGTCGCCGCCACTGCCATCCGAGGGCCCTGAAGGCGCCCTCCTCATCGAGGCCGGGTCCTTAGCGGCCACCTCCGCTGGGTCCTCCATGACCAGCAGTGGCCTCAGCGCCAAGGGCCGGGCCGGCCTCTGTGGAGAGAGGAGAAGGTGGTGGTCAGCAGTGAAGGCAGGCCGCCGGGACCGTATGGGCGTTCCCGCCAGTGTTGGGGTCAAGAGGAGAGAACGCTGCCGCTGTGCTTGGTGGACGCCTCACGTCCTACATTGCCCTGCTCACCGATCGGTTCCTCTCGGACCAGCACGAGCCCCCCTGGAACAAGCTGTTGGAGCCACGTGCCAACGTTTGCACGGTGACCTGGTTCATGCCCGCCTAGCCTGGCGGGGTGGACATCCTGGAGGGAGAGTGGAGGCATCAACAGACCCCTGCCGTGGAATCCCTGCTCAGAACGTGACTGCGAGTGACGTGCAGGCAGCAAGGACAGTGTGGGACAGGAGCAGAGACGGCCTCGTCGCGCACCGTGGCGCCGTGGTTTGGGGATAAGGCCACCCGTGTCCCGCCAGCAAGGGCTGAAGCGAGGAACCCAGAGACAGCTCGCCTCCCGGGAGACGGCTGTTCAGTTCCGTGATACACAGGCCTCGGCTGACCTGTGATTTCGGCCTGGGATGATTCCCAAGAGCTCCTGTTGCTCCTTGAAACCACCTCAGGGCCTGAAGCGGCGCCGTGGGCTCGTTTCTCCCACTGGAAGAGGCCTGGGCTCTGGCAGGGTCCCCCAGAACATGTCCAGTCTGTCAGGAAAGGGGCCAGGTCCCAGGCAGCCCCAGGCAGGAAGGAATCCGTTGGCCGAGGCAGGGAAGAGGAAGTGGCCGGGGCAGGAGGGTGTCTTCTCACCCCAGGGGTGCCCTCGGGCCCTCGAGAGCAGGCCGTCACGCCTCAGTCCTCCCCAGGGTCAGCGATGAGAGGGTCCCTACGGGGAAATCGGGAGGGCGGGCAGCCTGGGCCGGGGCTGAGGCGCGCAGGGCAGACCCCCAGCTGCTGCGGCCGCCGGGACCAGGGTCAGACACGGGCCCCTGCCGCCTGCATTGTCGGACCAGGGCGCACACAGCCCCAAGGCCGCTCGCCATCGCGTCTGCTCTTCCTGCTGAGCCCACGAGGCGTCTCATCATAGCACTTGGGTCCCTTGACCCGCTCAGCTCCTGTTGGTGGGGGGCCCTAGTCCTGACCTGTGTCCCCACCCTTGCCCCCCTGAGGTGGGTGGAGCAGAGGCTCTCCCAGCCGGGCACCTGGCACAATAATACCACGTCTGGGGCTCGCGGCTCTCCTCCCTGCCCCCAACCTCCCAGGGCAGGACTGGCCCATCAGCTTGTGCACTGGGGCCACCAGGGACCTGCACCTACCACGTTTCCCCAAAAATAAGACCTCACCAGAAAATAAGCCCTAGCATGATTTTTCAGGATGCTCGTAAGATAAGCCCTACCCCAAACATAAGCCCCCGTTAAGATTGTCAGCCAGACATGACTGCTTGAATAAATGTAGATTTTTGTACATGAATAAATGAATAAATGTAGATTGTTGGAGCAAAAATTAATATAAGACCTGGTCTTATTTTCAGGGAAACATGGTAGCTAGCGCTCAGGGAAGGGGGCCTGAGGGTAAGGCAGGCTCCCTGGGCTCAGGGAACCTCCCCCTGCCCCGTGAGGGACCTGCCAAGCAGGAAGGACTGCCGGGGACAATTGTAAGTGTGAGGTTCCTAGTCACAGTCCAGCGATGGGGACGTGGGCACAGTCTCTATGGGAGAGTTCCCTGCCTGCTGGTTCCAAAAATGGCCTCACTCAGTTTAGCAGGCTGCCGGCTCCCACTACAGGACGGGCTGCCCCAACCCCAGCCCCGAGGGGGTCCGGTGCTCTCGGGGGCAGCTGGGTCACCATAAGCCACCCTTCAGTCTTTATCCTCTTTGCTCAGTTCACTGTGGGGACAAGCCCAGGCGGGCCGCTGGCAGCCCCAGCCGGCACCCAACCTCAGGAGAGGGGAGTTTGGCACCAGAACACGGGGCCCAGGGTCAGTGGGTAGGGTGACCGCTCTGCGCCCAATTTACTCCCAGGAAAACAAGAACGAAAACTCCCACTTTGCAAGGAGCTCGATGCATAAACCGATGGCGCTACTGGGGTACAGCTGGCGTTTGATACATGCGGGATCGACGGGAGAGGATGGTGCTAATTCAGCCCTGAACGGGTTGGGGGTGGTTCTAGCCAGAACTTTCACTGGGCTCGAGCTGGACAAATACGTGGGGGGCCCATGCAGACCTCGTCTGCTTCACCAAAAAGCACCTCTCAAGGGTTGTCAAGCCACCCCCTGTACTGGGGTGAACAGCGTCCCCCAAATTCATGTCCTCCCTGAACCTTAGAAGGCGACCTCCCAGGAGATAGGGTCTTAGCAGATGAAGACAAGGACACACTGGATTAGACGGGGCCTGAACCCAGTGACCCGTGTCCTTATAGGAGGAGGAGGGACACACAGACACTGGGAGAGGCCACGTGACACAGAGGACAGACCGGAGTGATTCGGCCACAAGCCCAGACGGCCTGGGGCCACCAGGAGCTAGAAGAGGCAGGAAGGCGCCTCCCCTAGAGCTGTGGAGGGAGGTGGCCCTGCTGACACTTTAATTTCAGACTTCTGGCCTCTGGACTGAGTAAATCTCGGTTGTGGGTTGTTGCAAGCCCCCAGCATGTGGGACTTTGTCACGACTGCCCCAGGACACTTGTAATGTTATGCTGTAACCCGGTGCTTTGATTCTTGTCTGCTGTGAAGCAGCGCCAACCTCACCCACATCAGGGTGTTCTCGTAAGGAGGACTGAATGACTTCTGTCACATCAAATGCGGGCACTACACCCCGTACAGGAAGCGCCGTCATTATCAACAGCAGGGTGACAATCCCACCATGACGGCTACCA